ATGCTAAGTCTGTGATAGTCCAATGTACCATTATCAAAGAGTTCATATGTTTCGATTGCCAAAGTAAGTGGCTTTGGTTACAAAGCTGCCAAACTTACCTAAGAATGTTAAAGTCAATAAGTTTGATTCTACTTCATGTAAAGTCCATTGTCTAACTCTCTTAAGCTCCAACTTGGAGATTCTTATTACATAATGTGACTGAGTCACATGGTGATGTTATAAGAATAAAAGGAAAAGAGAGAAAGCTTAAGGAAAGTATATGTTGCTTCTGATCGCAATCGCATCAGAATTTTGAAGCTGTTACTCAGAAGTAATGACACATTGCTTATGAATATATAACAACAAGGTTTTCATATGGATTTTAAGGATAAGTTTTTCTGCAAAGTTTTTAAAATAAAAGGAAAATTTTCGAGTTTATTTATTTTAAAATATCCTTACAATGGCATCTGTGAAAATTTTTGTTGCTTATAAGATTCCATTAATAGCAAGACTGGAAATATGAAATTGATTCTTTCATTTATGGTAATGTCTAAATTTACCAAATAAGGAAAGATTCTCATCACCCAAGTTTCAATTGGACCAAAACTTTGAATCATGCAAGTTGTATAGTATGATGAATGAGAACTTTCAAGCATTGAAAAATTAAGACTAATTACTTGTTCACATGGATGTGTGAGTCAAGTAAATGACTAATGGATCGAGTACACATTCTTGTGCACTGATCAAGCCCACCACAAATAATCGAGAAGACTATTCGTCATGATTTACCAAAGTTTAGTAAATATGGTTATACTTATAAGTTTAAGTGTAATTCTGATACATTGGAAAAATTTTGATGTATGGCAGAACGAATGAGAAGAATCAAATTAGGCAGAAGGATAAAAGTTTCTCAAATCTGAAAAGATGGGAGAGTACTTTAGTATCATGTTATATGATCATCTTAATGATTAAGATACCTTATCATGGTTCATCCTATAAGTGCATTCTGATAGCTATGAAGAGGAATTATGAATTGTTGAAGTGGTCAAATCAAGAAGATGAGTCATACTACGTTCCAAAACAATTCTTAGAGTCATATTCCAAGATTGTAACTTGAGTGACATATCTTAAAGAAGGTTTATTAACACTAGTCAAATGTAAGAGTAAAAGGTTATCTACTCTTGTACATTTGAAATTAGTAAGTTTTGATGTTTTGGATAAAACAGAGACCAACTTAGACCAATTGCGTGAAGTGTTTGTCTTGATTAAGAATCCACACTATCCCTTGAATATGTGACAAGAGAGTCTTATATGTCAAGAGGACAGTGTGGGTCTTAAAGGTCTTAAAAGTCTCAAGAACTAATCAAGAATAAAACCTGAAGTTCTTCACTAGAACACGACTTGAGGTTTATAACCTATCGTGTTGACATATTCCAGTGAAAGTTGGCTCTGCATATAAGTTCTTAGAGTCCTCAATTGGTTGCACAGCTACTTGGAAGCTATGGCAGGCCCTTGTGCTGCCAAATGGCAAGAACTTAAGATTGCACAAGTTCAATCCATATGAGTTTGGATTTGTCACTAACCTTGTCTTGTGATTATGGTTTTGACAAATTCATATGGGTAGGAACTCATACACCATAAAAATCCAAGTGTCATAATGTTTCTCTCCGATTCATGAAAATAATGGTGAGGAAACACTTCCACTAAGTAGATTTGTAAGTAGATAGTAATCTTTGCTTTCTCAAAGTTGTTAGTAGGCACACTAACAAGCACTTATGAGAAATAGCAAAGGCCTAAACAATTAAGACTGTGATTACGAAATCCCTTTTCATAGTTCTGAAATTGTGTAGACACACCTGTGAGCTATCTAAGATAAGGTGTATGTTTTTTGATAAAGTCTTATCAAAGCAATCTAGTATCAGAAATCTGAACTTTCGTAAAAAAAAGTCAATAGCCGATTTCTGAGTACATGTCAAAGCTAGTGGGAGCATAAGTGTTATGCTAATAATCATCATGTTAGTGGGAGCATGATAATTATGATAAGAATTGCAAGTTACCAATGTTAATTATAGAAAACAAAAGTTTCTATTCGTGAGGTTGCAGGGGTTGAAAAAGTTGTTTTGCTATAATTAAGGGAGAGGAAATTATACTTCATTTTAATTATGGAAAGCTTAGATTGAGTTTATAATCATTCTAAAGAGCTTATATTGAGATTTTAATCACCTTTAGTCAAGTGTGTGTGTGTGTGTATATATATATATATATATATATATATATATATATGAATTTCATGTTGGATTGGTTCAACTTAAGAAAATTCTATATATTGCGTTCTCAAAATTCGATTATGATTACGACATCCCTTTTCATAGTAAAATTTTGAGAATATGGCAAACAAAAATTATTATGGCAAAAGACTGGTCTAGAACCATGTCTTTATGTGAAACATCATGAATCGTGTCCCATTTACTTTGGGTACAAGATCGATTACTTGTGCTATAATCTTTATTCTTTCTGAATTTTCCAAATGCCTTGGGGCATTAAGGAGGAAAATGTCTACAATTGAATATGAATAAAGTGATTAAGCAATTCTCGAGGACAATCTAAGGTTTACCAAAGATTGTTGCTCAAGGACAGTTGGAAGTATACTGTTAATACTGGAAGGACCATATTGACCTAGTCTGAAAAGAGGCCACTCTTGTTCAGAAGTAGTAGTCAAAATGGGAATATATAGAGTTGTCTCTATAGATAGAAGCAATCTGTGTAAGATTAGAAAGAACTTAGTGCAAGAAGCATGTTCAAAGCAATGCATACTTTGAACATAAGGCTTTGTGTACATGGAGTAGGTCTTTATTGTAATACCCTGCAATGGTTGTTGACAAGTCTTTGTGAATTTGTACACATTCATTGCAAGAGGGTAGCACATTTAAGTTTAAATCCTAACTAGATTTCGATTTGGGAGTGTGAAATTAGAATCATTGAGAGTTTGATCAATTGGTTTATTACACAAAGTAAGGATCATAGATAAACATAGAGTGCATACTTGGTGTATGGCAAAGCTATTGTTTAGGAAAACATAGTCTACATGCTTGGAGCATGGGATACCTAGTGTTTTAATTCAAGTATAAAGTTGATAAAACCGAAACAATGAATAATGGGAAATCAGTATGGTGATAAATAGAAGTGGTCTATTTATATTCATAGGGTTTGATACATATTTGATTCATTTATTATTGTGTTTCACTTTGCATGTTTTGACTTCCATAACAACTAGGTTATTCTTCCGGAATGACTAAGTTATTCAAACCATCCACAGTCGGTCATATGTTGGAAGTAGATATGAATCAAGACTGTCATGGGTTGGCTTGTAGAGGTCCAAGTTGGTGGAAAAAGTTGTGCTACAACACTCATGAGTGCTCATAAGTTCTGAGTATTGGATTCAACCCACGCTCATTTGAATCACTTCATGGATTTTATCACGAGTGATCATAAGACGATAATATCTTTTTATTCTTCAAACCTAGTGATATGAGTTGACACTATGAGTTGGTTATACATTAATTGTGCGAAACCGCATTCGTAACTCGATGTTATAAAACGTGTCTTTGTGTGATTCAACAAGTAACAAAAAAAGCTATATGAGTTGAAGTTTATCCATTCCTTTTATTTTCGGGATAAAAGCAATATATGTGGGCCCCTCGATGATTTAATGATGATAGATGTGAGTGCTTGGCCAAGCTAGGACTGATTTGATTTGTTCAATCAGTCAGTCGTTATAAATCGGAAATCGGGAAACAACAAATGGACAGAGAGAATGATTTATAATCCATGTCTCATTGCATATGATATCTAGAATGGAGGAATATATGATCCCTTATCTAATAGACAAGTCATTGACAAAGGTTAGAGTTCATCTACGAGGTTAGAGTTCGACGGAAGCTTTTGAGAGCTACGATTGCCAGTCGGTTCTTGAAGTCGTACGCAATAATAGTTTTAGACTTATCCAAGTGGGAGACTGTTGGATTAATGTCTAAGTCCATAACTATAATTAGTAAGACTTGACCCGACTCGGCATGGTCCATTTGGGTTGCATGGCATCATGCATTTGGATAGACTATAATGAGAGAAATACCACTTAAGGTTTGTTAATATATTATAAGTTATAATATATTAATAAGATTATTGAATTAGTATTGATCAAGAATTAATCTAGGATTAATTAAGTGATCAAAAGGAGACTAATTAAATATATGGGTTGATTGTGTAAATCATCCATACTTGTATAGTGGGCTAATGCTTCATGGATTGTCAAGTTGGGCTAAAACCCATAAGATGCTGCATGGATGCTCCATGGTGTATTTGAACCCATGGATCCAAGGAAATGGGAAGCCATGACAATTAGGGTTTACCCTAATTGTAACAACTATATAAGATCATATTCTTTGAAAAAATCGGCCACTAAGTTAGGAAGAGAAAGGCTAACCGATTTTAGAAGTGTTCAAGTTTCTCTCAAGTTATTCCAAGTGTATTTGGTGTTGTGTGAACTATTTGAGGTGTCACAGATGGGGCACTAGGCACTCAAGCTTCTTGAGAACATTTTACACAAAGAGGTATGTATTATACCTTGTTATATTCATTGTTTTGTATGCTAGATTAGGATAAGACCTTGGATGTTCATGTTTTCATGTAAAATAGAGAAAACATAGATCCAAGGTATTTAGGGTTGCATGTACACTTAGGAGTGTTAGAATGCTCTAAACCCAACAGTATTAAGGGGTGAATGTAGCCTGATCAACTACACTTCCTCCGAGGTACAACTATCACAAGCCCCGAGGAAATCGTAAAGGTCGGTAAAGCTAAAAAAATACCCCTTTATTACCAAGAAGAGAACATCAATTCAATATATACAATAGTTAAAACATCTTAGGAGTAATAATAGTTTATTTATATACCTCCTGTCAGTCACTATGGAAGGGGAGCACTAGGGCATTCAGTTTCATCGGGTCTTAGTGGCCCACGGGATGATTGAGGATGAGACTGAGGAAGATCATGGGGGAACACATGACGTTGGACCTGAAGTGGAACAGGATGAATATGTGATAATTGATTTTGAATATGAAGAGTCTGACCAGGAGTTAGACAAAGAGAAGGGCATAGAGGAGGCACGTAGTGAACCCCACCAGTTGAAAGCCCCATCAGATTCCCGCACGGTTCAAAGGGTTGATAAAAACTATCTACACTCTCTCGAGGAGGAAATTATCAGCCTTAAGCTTCAACTTATTACAGCCAAGGAAAGGGATGTATGAGCCAAGAAAAGGGTAGAGGTAATCACCCAAGAGGCGGATGAACTGGCTGAACTCCTGATACGTGAGCTCGATGATTGAGTGTCATCGTCATCTCTACCGACGGGACGTGCTTTACTACTTGCTATTATAGGTTCCACAACATGTTGAACCAGCCGTACCTCCTACTAGTATTGTGTTTCTATGGATATTATGTCATAATACTGACGGATCATACATTCTCTTATGAAATGTTTATCATTTAGGAAAATTTTCCTGTATTAAAAATGGCCATGTCTAGTAGAAATGCTATATGTTTTAATATGAGTTTTTGCTTATGTGCACAAAAAAACATAAACACACCATAGGGATATATATCGAAACATTGTGAACCATACGACAAAATACGAAAACTGCAAAGCAGCACCAGAAATGGCCGCCGTTACTAACGGTTCGACTTATTATCATGCAGTAGAAGATGCCATTCCATAGAAATAACGGGCACAACCGTGAAGCACTACTTTTGCAAATGGACCTTACTACATTCCAAGTTGCTATCACCGCTGCTGTAACTGCTGCTATGGCACAACTCAATGCAAACAACACCAACAGAGGAGGAGATAGCGTCGACAACACCAGTTGAAATAACGACCACGGAAACCAACGAGTGATTACAGATCAAGGCACTCAAAACCCCAAGCTTAAGAGAAGTAAGAGAGCGTCAGGGAATAAGAGAAGAGGACAGTCAACTCAAGGATCCTCGAAGAAGCAACATGTTATTACTGTTAATGCAGCTATGACAACTACTACACCAACACTAGGGAAGACATATGTTGGAAGTCTTCCACAATGCAACAAATGCAGTTTCCATCATCATGGAATATGCAGGGAGATGCATTGTAACAGTTCCAATCAAAAGGGTCACACGGCGAAATATTGCAGGACCTATCCTTCCCAGAACCAGCAACAAGGAAACAACAACAACAACACCAACAACAACGACAATAATGCAGGACCGAGCCACACCTGCTATGGATGTGGAAAGACTGGGCATTTCCATCGAAACTGCCCCAACAACAACAACCATGGGAATGGAGGAACAGGAAAAGTGCCGACCATGGGTCAGGGAGAAGTGGTTCAGGACCCCACAGTTGTCACCGGTATGTTCCTCATAAACCACACTTATGCATGCATCCTATTTGACACTGGAGCAGAATGAAGCTTTGCGAGCAATAGATTTAAACACTTGTTAAAGCAACAACCCTAGAAGCTTAATGAAACCTTTACGGTGGAAATGGACAATGGAAAAACAAAATCCACTGGGGAAATCTATATCGGATGTACCCTAACCTTGAACCAACATGTCTTTCAAATAAACTTAATGCCTGTTTCCATTAGGAGTTCTGATGCGATTATTGGCATGGATTGGTTAAGCCCCCACCATGCTGAAATTATGTGTCACGAGAAGGTCGTTCGCCTTCAGCTTCCAAATCGCAAAACCCTAATTATATACGGAGACAAACCCAACACGAACCTTCGTATTATCTCGTGCATTAAGGCATAGAAGTATCTACGAAAGATAGACTTGACGTTCCTGGCTCATATAGTGGATAAATACAAGGAAGATGTCAATATTTGAGACATTCCAGTAGCTTGCGAGTTCCTGGACATCTTCCCTGATGATCTTCCGGGGATACCCCCACAAAGACAAGTCGAGTTTTGAATTGATCTTGTACCAGGAGCTACTCCCATCGCCAAATCGTCCTACAGGTTGGCTCCTGCGTAGATGCAAGAATTGTCCAGCCAACAAGTGAGCTTTTGGACAAAGCATTCATCCGACCCAGCTTCTCACCTTGGGGAGCTCCGGTTCTCTTTGTTAAGAAGAAAGACGGATCCTTTAGGATGTGCATTGACTACAGGGAACTAAACAAGCTCACTATCAAAAACCGCTATCCACTTCCGCGAATCGACGATCTATTTGACCAACTTCAAGGAGCAAGATATTTCTCCAAGATAGATCTACGATCTGGATACCATCAACTCAAGGTCCGGGAAGAGGATAACCACAAAACCGCTTTCCGAACTCATTATGGACATTATGAATTCATCGTAATGCCCTTTGGTCTAACGAATGCCCCTGCCGCATTCATGGACCTAATGAATCGAATATGTCGACCATTCCACGACAGCTTTGTCATCGTTTTCATTGACGATATTCTAGTTTACTCTCGAAACTAAGAGGAGCATAGCCAACATCTTCGACAAATCCTGGAAACCCTGCGAACCGAGAAACTATACGCAAAACTCTCAAAGTGTGAGTTCTGGCTCCGTAGTGTGAAATTTTTGGGTCATGTTGTTAGTCAAGAAGGGATACACGTGGATCCTTCTAAGTTCATAGCCATTGAAGGATGGGTGATCCCAACGACACCCATATAAATTCGTCAATTTTCAAGTCTAGCAGACTATTCTAGGAGGTTCATACAAAACATCTCTAAGACCGCCAAGCCACTTACCATGCATACACAAAATGGTGTACCCTTCGAATGGATAGATAAGCAAGAGGTTGCATTCTGAACTCTGAAGCGAGCACTCTGCAGTGCACCGGTACTATCATTACCAGAAGGAACGGAGGACTTCGTAGTTTGCTACAATGCATTGAATCATGGTTTAGGTTTCATACTTATGCAATGTGGGAAGGTGATAGCTTATGCATCCTGACAACTAAAGACATATGAGGTGAACTATACGACCCACGATTTTGAATTGGGAGCTATGCTCTTTGCCTTAAAATTTTGGAGACACTACCTTTATGGTACAAAGTGCACCATTTTTATGGACCACAAGAGTCTCCAACATATCCTAAACCAAAAAGAATTGAACGTGAGGCAACGAAGGTGGGTTGAGCTACTAAACGATTATGAGTGTGAAATCAAGTACCACCCACCAAAGCTAACATGGTAGCTGATGCCTTGAGTAGTAAAGAATACTCAAAACATTGTGTAAAGACTCTCTCCATAACCATTCAATCCCACCTGACCTCCCAAATCAGAGCAACCCAGTTTGATGCCATGAAGACGGAAAACAAAGCAAGCAAAGCGTTTCGAGGGATGGAAAATAATTTTGAGGTGAAGGAGGACGAAGCATATTATTTTATGAACCACATTTGGATCCCTAAACTTGGTGGATTTAGAGAAGTGGTCATGGATGAAGCCCACAAGACACAATACTCCATCCATCCGGGTTCAGATAAAATGTACTTGGATATCAAGCAACATTATTGGTGGCCCAACGTGAAGGCAGAGAGTCATACAAAATGGAACGATTAACGAGAATATACATCAAGGAAATTGTGAGACTCCATGGAGTGCCAGTATCTGTCATCTCAGATAGAGATAGTAGATTCACTTCACATGTTTGGCAATCACTTCAGAAAGCACTGGGAACACATCTCGACATGAGCACCGCTTATCTCCTACAAACGAATGGTCAAAGAGAACGAACCATTCAGACAGTTGAATACATGCTTTGTGCGTGTGTGATAGACTTTGGAAAGTCGTGGGATACCCACTTTCTCTTAATCAAATTCTCGTACAACAACAATTATCAATCGAGCATCAAAGTTGCTCCCTTCGAGGTGTTGTATGGATGTAAATGTAGATCACCATTGTGTTAGGATGAGGTAGGTGACACCCAGCTAGCAAGAGGACTGACATCAAACAATGCATTAACAGGACCGACGATTATACGCGAAACAATGGAGAAGATCGTTCAAATCAGAGCTCGACTACAAGCATCACGAGACCGACAGAAGAGCTACGCTAATAAATGGCAAAAGCCGTTGGAGTTTCAAGTCGGGGATTGAGTGTTTTTAAAGGTCTCTCCCTGGAAAGGGGTTATTCGTTTTGGAAAACGGGGAAAGATGAACCCACGACACATTGGACCCTTCGAGATCCTTGCCCGAATCGGTCAAGTGGCTTACAGACTACAGCTACCTGCCAAGCTCAACAGTGTACACCCCGTGTTCCATGTTTCCAATCTGAAAAAGTGTTTGTCCAACGAAACCCTCATCATTCCACTTGAAAAAATAGAAATCAACGAGAATCTCCTATTCGTCGAAGAACCAGTCGAAATCATGGACATGAAGGAGAAGCGTACTAATCAAAGTCGCATTCTGATTATGAAGGTAGGGTGGAACGCGAAGCGTGGGCCAAAATTCACATGGGAACGCGAAGACCAGATGAAGCAGAAGTACCCTCACCTATTCTCGCATTCTTGAACCTAGCTTTAGAAAGAATTTCTAGAAAAAATTCCCTCTAACGGGGGGATGATGTCACAACTAGTAATTCTATACCATGTAACAACAACAATGATAACATTTGTGTACCAAAAATGTGAAAGCATGTATGGTGCTTATTCAATAACAACAAATTTTCCATCAAACGCTCTATGCAAACACTTCAAATAGTCAACAAAGAATTGGAAACCCTAGAAATCTCGGTTTAAGTCCATTATGGACTACGATTTTCTTATTGGACCTAATGGGCCAATAAGCTTCCAATTTGATTATTTTGGGCATAGAACTCTTAAATGGGCTCTAACTGGAACCACTTCCATTTATTTTAACAATTTGTGCCATATTCGGCCTAGAATGAAATAAAATACCTTAATGGACCTTTTGGGCCGTAAACCCTCTCCAAAGACCAATTGGGCCAAAAATCATCTACTTGGATCATAATATGGGCGTAAGCACAAAAAGGCCCAATCTTTTTTCTTTCTTCTCCCTCTCTCAGCCCAAACCACAAAACATGGGGTGGAAGAGTTAACTTTCCTACATGCCACCTCACAATTGTACATGGGGTATCCAGGCACTCTTCTTCTACTTCCAAGCAACCCATCACTTCACCCTCTCTCTCTCTCTCTCTCTCTCTCTCTCTTCTCCTCTCTTTTTTCTTCTTTGGTCAAGAACACAAAGGGAAGGAGACATACACACACAATTCACTAAAAACTCTCTCAAAGAACACTCT